CAAAGGTTCCAGAAAAGGCAATCTCAAGGCAAACCCTGACACTCATCATTATCTTAAAATTCATTCTAATCTCCGTATTCCCATTTCTTTGTCTCTTAGAAGGATTTCAATAAAATAACTGAGACCCTTCAAGATGCTTACAAGAAACATACTCCATAACCCTGGCAAAGTTCTGTCAAATGTATACTGCTTTACCTTTTGCCAGGAAGTTCCTACTACTGTGGATAATAAGTCAGAGTGATCCAGTTCAACGAGCTCCTCCTGGCAATTTTATGGTGGGTGAAACATGATTTGATTTTCCAGTTCCCCACTGGCTTCTTTTCAATCAAGTGAGACTGTTTAGTGCCTTCTTCCTGATCCACAGAGCAGCCAGATCCAGACAGTCAGTATTCAATCGCCTTCCCCACTAAGCGTATAGACCTTTCTTGAGCATTTTTCACATGACACTTTCATATCCATATTTAGCTTTCTTCCTACCATCACCCTGTAATTCAAAAGGCAATTTAGAATCCCATATGGTTGCCATCGAAGCTAACAGATGTCTAGCAAATTAAAACAAAAATTATGACTTATAAACTGCTGATGTATCATCATCCCAGAACATCTTGCAATTCATAGTGAATCATAAGATAAGGCTTCCTACTTGATGCCTCTCCCCAAAGGTTCTCTAAATCTCCCTCCTGGCTGAACCGAACCCCTATAGGAGCAAATCAAATGCAACATCCTGCCATCAACTCTGGATAAGCCTCCAGTGAAAGACATAAAGTAATATCTGGAAGCATATCTAACAAGAAACGTGGCTTCAAGTATTCCAAAGCTGTCCTAACCCTTCTATAGCAAAAAGAATAGAAATGACTGACTCCCAAGTCACTTAAGGCTTCCAACAATCCATGCGTGGCTTTTTTTGCTACTAAGTCAAGATATTGAACCCATCTGCCTCATCAACTACAAGCTCAAGCCATCCTTGGAGTTCAACAACCAGGATGGAAGTAGTGTGTAATCTGAGGATGATACAACAATGATACCATTTACTAAACCATGAGACACGCTTGAAATTACAAGTTCATTACATAATGCTCTCTCTGTTTTAGATGATAAAAATAACACAGCAGACCGTATTTTCCCCAAATGTTCACAATCAACAGGACCGTCTGCCATCATATGACCTTGCCATTTTCCCCCTTGAACTGAACTGGCTCTATGTGTGCTTTAACAAACAGACCATATGAAACCGACACTGTGCCAGATGCAGGTATAACTGGCTGGAAGCTTCTTCCAGTGTCAGAGACAGGAAGAAGGCACAAGCAGGTGCTCCAGCCTACAATACCAGCAGAAATGGTCCATGAGGATCGGCTCCCAGTTGCATGAAAACACCATCCTGGATATCCCACTCCAATGAACCCTCAGGAAAACTCCAGCTCTGGTCACAGCTCACTACAAGTGCACAGAAGACTCACCGATATAGAATCATCCGTGTGAGTCCACGCAAGTCACACAACTGTGAGCTGTGGTATAAAGTTTGTTGTAAACCACTAAGTTTGGGAGGGGGGAGCGTTCTTTGTTAATGACCTTAAAGTTGCAAGAATATGGGGACCAGTTGACTTGCCCAGACACAGAGAAGTTATCCAAACCATATTCCAAAAGAGTCCAGAGCTAAACATCTATTCATGGTGAGTGATGGCATGTAAGAATTCTGGACCCAAAAATACTGAGTCCTCCCTTCTCCACTTCAAAGCAGGCTCAGGGGTTTCCTAGAAATATCCTCAATAAACTCAGTTCCCTTTGTCTTGAGTTGTCTGGATATCTCAACAGGGAAAACAAGGTTTTTCCATACTAACCTCTCAGAATACGTATACAATACAATACAAATCGTAGTATAAAAGGATTTTGATTTTACACATGAAACTGTCATTTTAATAATAAAAATGCAATTAATGACTCACAGAACCTCAGTGGGGATAGAGCAGCATGCTACCATACCTCAACAATTAAAAAAGACAGGAAGAAATTAGTGAAAGTTTTTTCTATTAAAGTATTTTTTAAAATACACCTAAGTAATAAAGTTGGTCTTTAGAGAAAGTTGGTCTCAGTATGAGAAAGAGCTTGTAACTTAACAAATATGTTATCCCCATGCTATACAAATGCCCATCTCTTTTATTTTTCTTCCTCACCTATTAGAACTGGACACATTCAGTCTTCCTGAAAAGCAGAAAAACACTTTGTATCTCATCCAACTCTTTCTTCTTCACAACTGAGGACTGAGGTCCAGAGCAGGTGACCAACTCACAGTCTAACTTGTGCTCCAAGAACCAAATTCTCAGTGCAGGTGACACCCTATGTCCCAAAGGATTTTACCAAAAGTCACCACAAGTATCCCTCTCAATGTCTTCTATGCATCTCAATTGCATTCCAGCATCTCAGAGAGACTAAAAGGTTAGCAGACTAAATTTTCTTTTAGCAATCTCTGCTTGGTGACTGTTTAGGAGCAGCACTAATTCTGCTATTTTGAACAGTCGCAGGCAGGCCGTGACTGTAGAGAGCAGAGGTGTGCCATGCTTCCGAAGCAGGTGGCAAGTTCCTGACTCCCATCCTTCAGTCACCAACATCTTCGTCTGAAGTACTTCACATAACATGGCTGCTTTCCTGGCAAGCACCACTAGTGACCACGGCACTTATAAACTGGGAAACTTACATACGGGGTAATTTGAAAGCAGAGAGAAGGAAGGCAGGCTTCAGGCAAAGACAGGAGGGGGAGAGTGTGTAGAACGCAGGGTAAAAGAAGGACCCTCATCAGGAAAGCATAAGCAGAACAACTCCACCTGGGGCATCTGGTTTGATTCCCTAGTCATGGTCTGTTGCTACGCTTCCCATAAACCTTCCATCCCCACCCAGGGAAGATCTTCCTTCAGCACCACACAAGATGTGACATTTTTCTGGAACTCTCCACACAAACACTGTGCAAGTCCTTGAAGCCTTCTACAATTCCAGAGGCTTTCCAGCAACCTAATTCAGGGCTACATTTGCCTCCATGCACTTCACAAAATGACACCAACCTGGCAGCGAAGCAGGCCCAGATTCTTTTATCTCCTTTCTGGTCCCTGCTATGAAACTGCAGAGAGAGCCACCTACTAACTGACTCCCCACTCCCTTTTAGGGCCAGAGCCCAGGCTTCTTTGCTACTTCTACTTGAACACTTCTCAAAAGTTGCTCTCAGGCAACACAGAGCACCCGGGGACTGAGCCCAACCTAGTCAACTCAAGTCACAAACGGCAAAGCAAGTCACTCTATCTCAGAAATGTGGCCACCACCTGCAGACATTCCCAGAAGAGGCAGGGGCCACAAAAGAAAAAATGTCACAGGAATCACAATCATTGAGGGGGAGGAACAAAAATACCCAACTGTGACCGAGTGGATATGCTGCCTATTCCCAAATCCCTCTCCTAATTTCCATCAGTCCTGAGGCCAGAGCATGCCGACATATACCCTGGTCTGAAATCTCGTCCAGGGCCTCCTACAAAACATGTGTGAGCACTGCAAGAGACTCCAAGAGGAAAGAGAAAACAACCTGGTACAGTGTGGAAAACACTTATGTGTGTGTACACACACACACACACACACACACACACACACGACAGAGACTACTCTCACAAAGGGTCTATTTGCAACAAATCATCCCAATTTAAGGAGAATCCAAATAAATACACCGTGTTCAGTCTGCTGTGGATTATCATTGATCATCTGGTGGATCATTGTTCACCTCACCCAGGAGGGCAACTTGGAGAACCCTGCCCCCGTCCACAGGGCCACCATCTTTACCTTCCACTGGGAAGGGGATACCCAGGAAGGAGAGGATGGCACGGAAAACAACAGGGTCCTCTTGTTGTCCTACAGTACTCTTTGTCTGGTACCAGGCTGAACACGTTTGCGAGATGAGGGGAGAGAATCAAAACAAAACAAAAGAGTAGGCGTCCCAGCTTCATCACAATAGGTGCCCAGCACACAGTGGCGCCAGCAGAGCACGGAGCACGGATTGGATCTGATGTTCAAACACCCACTCTCTCCGTGACCCCACATACCATGTCTCACACTCCTCCTCTGTTGCATTTCTCCAAGGTTCACAGCCATCTCCCCCCCTACTATCCCCCTCCCCCAAAGCGGCCAGCTCCGGATCACTCCTTTAAAAAGGAGGACGTGAGACACCGGCCCAGGAGAGCATACATTGCTGGGGACTTTTGATGCTGACAGTGGTATTTATACACATATATAGGACTCAATCCCTGCACCTCACATGCCCACTGACGGGTCAATCCATTATGCAAAAGAGCGCTTTCCAGCCGAGGGGCAAGAGTGCGCAGGAAGCATTATTTGCATGCCTCGTCCAGAGCCACAGACACTAAGGCATCTGCATCCTACACAAAGCCGGAGATGGTGCATGGAGATACAGGCTGAGCGTGGCACAGACCCGCCGCGGCAACACGGAGCCCAACCCTTGGCCAATCAGAGCCCTGAGAGAAGGTGGACCCCAGGCTCGGCTCTGCCCAAGCAGCCTTCCCCATGATGACACCACGCTCTGCCCAACACCCGTATCCCCCGGGGAGCAAATCCACTTCGCGTGGCTGCTCATTTCTCCAACTGCCGAAGCCTTCCGTTCATCTGCATCCCTATGACTACCTCTTGAAAAGCCACCCCAAGGCCTGGGTGGCCCTTTGCCGGCTCCGGGTGTTTTTGTTTTTGTTTTTCTTCTTTCTTCTTCTTCTTCTTCTTCTTTTTCTTTCTTTTCTCCTCTTTTCATTCCCAGGAAGGATTGAACGCGTCCCTCTCCAACGCGCACACAGGAAAGGCGGAAGGCTTATGCCTGGGTGCACCCACCTCCCCCAGCCCCCAAGCTCGGCAAGCACCGCAGGTCTGAGAAAAAAGTAAAGGGGATGAACAACGTGGGGGCAACTGCTGAGAAATTGATCAGCCACGGTAGTTACAATCCCAGGAGCGCTCCAACTTACCCAGAATATGACATTGAAGCCGAAAATGAAGTATTTGATGCAACAACTGACTTCAGGACCCTTGTAGTGCTTCCCGGACATCCTCTGGGTTCATGAAGACACTTGCCCCGGATACCCGACTTTGGAGTCCTGGCACACCGTTGCTTGGAAGCGGAGAGCAGGGGGGCTCGGGGCCACGGCGCGGGCGGCCCGGGCAAAGCCGCGCGGAGACCAGCAGGAAGAGAGCGGCTCCCGCAACCTCCAGCTAGCTCACTCGCCCAGGCCGTCTGAGCCGAGGATAGCGGCGGCGAGCGGGCGAGACAAGCCGTGCTCTGCAAAGCCCGAGCCTCCCAACGCCGGCCGCGTCCACTCGGCGAGCGCCGAACGTCCGTGCGCCAGGCGGTCGATTCCGAGGTCTGTCCCCAGGTTTCGGGCAAACGCGGCCGCGGCAGATGCTGGCGAAGACGCTCGCGCGCCCTCCCGCCCCGCGCTCCGTCCGCCCCTCGCTCTGCCCGCCCCTCGCTCCGCCCGCGGCTCCGCCCGCTGCCCGGGCCTAAGGGAGGTACGCGCGCGCGCGCACGGGCTGGGGCGCTCCCGGGCAGGCGGCGGTGGCACCAGGTCACAACCCCCTCCTTCCAGCGATCCCCGCCCCTTCTTCAGCCAGCCCCCCGGAGCGCCCGGCTCTAGCTGTGGAGGGGTGGTAGGGGAAGGTGGCAGGCGGAAGAAAGGAGGAAGGGTGCCCGAGAAGCACGCCGATTGGGGAAGCAACGTGGCGGAGGGACCGTGATTGACTAGCAGCGGGTCCCTGCCGCCCGCCGCTTCTCCTGGCAACACTGGAGAGGCTCCGGGGAGAGGAAGCCTCGTGGCAGGAGAGGACTTAAGTGAATGGGAAGCTGCCCCCACTGCGCATATGAACTCTATGCCCCTTCCCAGGCTGTGTGGCCAGAGGCGAGGTACAGCCACGATGCAGGACAGGAATTACGGTGGTGGACTTCGCTGAGCCGGGGAGCGCGTCGTCGGGGTGTTGGGAAGAGGGAGACTCAGGGACCTCAGGACAAAAGTCTCCCGATGTGATTGCCATCTGTCCTGCCCTCCTGCAGACGGGACATTGACCATAGAAACGGTACCACGAGGGACAGATGGCCCGAAGGTGGCTTGACCCAGGAGCCTCTCCATAGGGTCTGTTGCAACACCACAACAGGCACAGCAGACTCCCTCCCCACCCGGGGCGGATTGTGTGCCCTTAGGAACTTGACCGCTTGCTGACTCTGGGAAGGAATCCAAAAGGGGTTCAGGGATCGGCTTCTGGGAAATCCCAGTTGGATTTCTGGATCACGAATCATTAAGCTTTTGGCCTCCACGGGGTGGGCTGGAGTTCCTGGGAAGGTCCTTGAGAACCCTACCTGAGCAGGTGTATCCGGCCCGACCCTCCTCTGGGAGCATTTCCTGAGGTGCTGGCAGAGCAGGTACCAGTGTGGCGAGGAAAGAAAAGGAAAACTTCTCAGAAGGATACACATCCGTGGGAAATGTTAAGGCTTTGCACAGCTAGAGAGATGGGAGGCAGGGAAGAAATGCCAGCACCACCCTGTGCATTCTGGTGCGAGATGCAGGAATTGGCCCGTGAGGTTCCGCAGGTGATAGAGTTTAAGAGCCTCTGGCCTAGAATCGGCAGCACAAGAAGTTGCTTTTTCCTTCAATAAGTGACCCTTTGGACTGCAAGGTGATAGGGACTGAATGGAGGTCAGAGCTGTGAACAGGACACCCATCAAGATGGGAGGATCAGAAAGTCCTATCAAGCTATCGCAGTGACTAACCGTGACTTCAGCGCTTTGTGTAAAATAACCTTCTCTTCCTCAAAACTACCCCCTACCCATCCAAAATACAGACCATAACACCTCCCACCTGGTGGCCTTCAAAAGGAAGGTCTTCTTTCAAGGGCGGATTTCCCTCTTAACAGGAAAGCACTGACAAGCTTTACTGAAACCTTTTCGTGCTATGCTGTAATTCTGTGTATAAATAGAACAGTGGCTACAGGAATACAGGATAAGTCAGAGGAAAGGGCTGTCTAAAGTTGATGTGACACCCTACAGGATGTAACAAGAAATTAGATCCAATGGATAACTCATTTGATCCCTAAATGTGACTTATCTTTGAAATATAAATCAACAGAGACGCCTCATATACCTCTGTGCCCACACACCCAAACTACCTACCTTACTCCTGGTACAGGGCTACATTCCAAATACTGATACAATTCTGATACGTCACCATCACCTTAGGCTCTTTGTGGACTTTGGGGGCCACTCAGCATTGCACATTCTATAGCTCGCTCCCACCATTAAAGTATTCTGCAAGGTATTTTCACTGCCCTCTTAGCTCCACTTATTTCATCCCTCACTCCCTCACTTCACCGAGGGCTGCCAGTGTGTTACTCTCTCCATGGTTTTTTCTTTTCCAAACATCATGTTTAAGAAATCCACAGTATATAGTCTTTAAAAAGCAGCTGTTGTTGGGGCTGGCACAGTAGCCTAGCAGCTAGTCCTTGCCTTGCATGAACAAGGATCCCAAATGGGTGCTGGTTCTAATCCCAGCAGCCCCACTTCCCATCCAGCTCCCTGCTTATGACCTGGAAAATCAGTCAAGGACGGGCCAAAGCCTTGGGACCCTGCACCCTCGCAGAAGACCTGGAAGAAGCTCCAGGCTCCTGGCTTTGGATCAGCACAGCTCCAGTCATTGTGGCCACTTGGGGAATGAATCATCCGATGAAAGATCGTCCTCTTTGTCTCTCCTCCTCTCTGTATCTCTGCCTTTCCAAAAATTTTTTTAAAAATAAATCTTAAAAAGTAGCTGTGGCTGTGCACAGTTATTCACTTACAAAGTCAGGCATCTCATGTTGGAGTTTGAATTTGAGTCCTGGCTGCTCCTGATCCAGCGCCCTGCTCATGTGCCTGAAAAAGCAGCAGATGGTAGCCTGGGTGCTTGAGCCCGTGCTACACAGGTAGAGGACAGGTGCGGTCCCTGGTTCCAGCAAGCCCCAGCTCTGGCTATTAGGGCCATCTATGGAATGAATCAACAGATAGGAAATCTTTCGCTTCCTCTGTCTCCCTCTTTCTCTGTGGCACTCTCTTCTGAATTAAAATAAACCGTTTTTTATAAGTCTTGGAAAAAATAATGTGGGGAGAATTTGGAGAAGGAGAAAAAATCTAGTTGAATTCTCATATGTTCAAAGTAAGCTCTAGGAATATTGTTGAGGAAATTTTAGTTTTTAAGCAAACAAAAATAACACAGTTGTTACATTTCTGTGTAGATGGGCTGGTGCAGTGGCTTAACAGGCTAATCCTCTGCTTGCAGCCCCAGCATCACATATAGGTGCCAGTGCTTGTCCTGGCTGCTCCACTTCCAACACAGCTCTCTGTTTATGGCCTGGGAAAGGAGGATGGCTCAAGTCCTTGGGAGAGACTGAACTCACATGGGAGACCCAGGGGAAGATCCTGGCTCCTGGCTTCAGATTGGTTCTGTTCCAGCTGTTACAGCCATTTGGGGAGTGAACAACAGATGGAAGATCTGTCATCTGTCCCTTTATAAATGTGTCTTTTGAATAAAAATAAATCAATCTTTTAAAAATCTCATTAAATATTTTATAAATTCTGTATAGAAGATATGTCTCAACTTAGAGAAACTAGAAGGAAACAAGTAATGGATTTGCCTGAGTAATATTTTAAGAACTGGAATTGTCAAACTTATAATGTAATCTAAATCAGCAAAAGAAATGGCAGTAAACATAAAAATAAAAGTCTGAAGATCTGTATTATAAGTAGAGCTCATATAGCTATAGGGGGGAAATGTAGAATGTCAATGACTGAATATAAACACAAAAGCCAGTTATGAAATTGAAGTAGCAACACATACAAGGGGAAATCTAGTCTAATAAAGAAATATCCGCTACTCTTGTGGTACAGATACAAAGGCAATGGGCACTGGATTGCCAAGCATTGCTAGCATCCTCATGAAATGTTATGGTCCATTTGAAAAACATTTTGGCTGTATGTAGCAGGTCAGAGTGCTCCCTACATTTTGACTCAGCAATTTCACTTCTGGGAATCCAGCCAAAGAAATACTCCAAAATGTGGGGAAAAGTTACATACTACAAATTATATGTCATAGCATTACTTATAGTGAAGATTGGCCACAGGTTACAGAACAAAGACTAGGGACTAAATCCAACACCTGGTTCAGTGTTCCTTCCCATTTCAGTACCTTGGGACCTGTCATTCCTGGTCCCAACGGGGAATGCTTTCCTTCCCCCTACTTAATTTCAAGGGCCCTTTTGTCTTTGCCTTTGTTTCTTGAAACCCTTCCTTCCATGTAAGCTCTGAAAGGTTCCTCCATCCACTGTTTACCCTCCTGTCTCTCTGCCTCTCCTCTGTGGCTCCTCCAACGGTGTGATTTCATCTCTTTGTAATCTTAGAATCACCTGGGCGCTACAGATGCAGCAGCTGTTTGATAATTATTAGGAATGAATGAATTGTTTGCTCATACTTTTAACAACTTGTAAGGATGGTGATTATTTAAGGGTGTGTGTCAATGTGTGAACAGATTATGCTGTTAAATTTTAAAGGCACTGTAGGGGGTCTTCAAGTATCACTGATAATTCTCATTAGGAAAAAACTATGCATGGATTTCAAAACTTTCTGGCCCCAAAATACATTTAACCTCTTAATTTCATTTTTTCCCCCAGAAACGTTTAAAAGTACCTTTATATAGAATTGATTCTAGGTGATGCTATTCAATTTTTAAAAATGCCAAACAGTACATGTGGTGGACATAATTTTTTAAAAAGACAAGACATGCTGGGGAAAAAAATGTTTCCATACACACAGCTTTACTTGTTAGGGATGGGGTATCTATGAAATGAAATAAATTGACAATTGTTGTAGCTGGAAGGGGCAAACTTGAGGATAAACAGATACTGGCAGAAAGGCAACTTGCTTTATTTTTCAATTTGTTCTTTCATTTTTGTGATTTGTACATGTATATTATATACCTTTTTGAGAAAATGATGCACTCTACAAAATCGTACACAAAATCATGAAAATATGACAGAAGCTTATTCTTAATTATTAGATGGTGAGTTTATGAATGATTCTATTTTTGTATTGCTACTTTCCAATTGTATAATGCTAAGCTTATTGATTCACTTCATGTGTTTTAAAGAGCAGAGAGATAGAGAGGAAGAGTGAGATAGAGACATCTTTCTTCCCAAATGCCTGCAACAGTCAGAACAGAGTCAGGTCAAATCCAGGAGTCTAGAACTCAATCCACGTCTGCCACAAGATGGCAGACATCCAACTAGGTTAGCCATCACCACAGGGCACATGAGCCGAGCCAGGACTCAAACCCAGCCCTCGAGTGTAGAACACAGGGAATGTTAGCCACTAAGACAAATACATTTCCACTCCAATTTTTATTAGTGGGATTATA